ACTGGATGCTGGTCTCAGTGGGACTAGCGCGTCCGATCAGTTGTAACAATGAAGACACTAGCGTCGGTCAAACAACCGGACGCTGGGTCGCTCTGCGACCGGACGCTGGCAGGCTGTGTCCGGTCATGTTGACATGGCAGCACAGAGGAAGACATCGTGTGACCGGACGCTGGCTGTGTCCGGTCAAGCATGACCGGACGCGTCTGGTCAGGAAAATCGTTTCTGGAAGCTTACTGGAAACGATCGGATGCTGGGGGTTCAACGTCCGGTCACTGTTAGCTACTGCGTCCGGTCATCTTCTGACCGTTGAGATTGGGTGATCAGCTTTTGAAGCAGGGGACATGTGGCAAAGATCTAAGGACCGGACGCTGGGGTCCTGCGTTCGATCAATACGACCGGTGCGTCCGATCATCCCGCGTTGTGCCCAGTGAAGGGGTACAACGGCTCTATTTTGTGGGGGCTTCTATTTAAGCCCCATGGTTGGCTCAAGCTCTCTCTCTTGGCCATTTGCATTGACATAGCAACCTTGTGAGCTTAGCCAAAGTCCTCCCACTCATCTCCATCATTGATTCATCATCATTGTGAGATTGGGAGAGAATTCAAGTGCATTGCTTGAGTGATTGCATCTAGAGGCACTTGGCATTCGTGTTTCGCTGTGGGATTCACTTGTTGCTCTTGGTGGTTGCCACCACCTAGACGGCTTGGTGCAGCGGTGGAGGATTGGCACGAGTCGGTGATTGTTCGTGACCATCTCCGGTGATTGTGAGGGGATTTGTACCTTCCTCGGCGGAGCGCCGAAAGGTAACTCTAGTGGATTGCTCGTATTATTGAGTTACCTCACTTATGGGTAGGTTCTTGCGGTGTACAAATTGTGTGGACGAGGTTTGTGCAACACCTCTTAGCCGCCGAACCACCAAGTGTTGGTCGACACAACAGGGACGTAGCGTATTGGCAAGCACGTGAACCTCGGGAAAAATTAGTTGTCTCTTGCCATTTGGTATTCTCCCAGTGATTGATTTAATATTCACCTTGTGATTGGTTCACTTCTCTACACGGTGATATAATCACCCTACACACTCATTTATATTCTTGCAAACTAGTTGTGGCAAGCTCTTTAGTGTAATTAGATTTGAGAGCTTGTTTTGTTATTTTAAGTTCATCTAGTGGAGCTCTTTAGAGTAGCATGATTGAGAGCTCTTAGTGAGTAGTAACTTTGCAAGTTGTGTGCCTAAGAATCATTGCAACTAGAATTGTTGGATAGGTGGTTTGCAACCCTTGTAGAGCTAGAGCAAGTTTGCATTTCGCTATTTGTCGTACTAATCAAATTGCTCTAGTTGATTTATAGATTTTTAAATAGGCTATTCACTCCCCCTTTAGCCATATTAGGACCTTTTAGTCTCGCCCAAGGCTGCGGGCTTCATCTCGCCCGACCCCAAGGCCGCGGGCTCCGTCTCGCCTGACCCCGAGGCCATAGTTTCTGTCTCGGTCGACCCCGAGGTCGCGGGGGTCTCGCCCAAGGCCACGGGCTCCGTCTCGTCCGACCCCGTAGGATCACGGGCTCTGTCTTGCCCGACAAGGACCCATATCACCGCCAACCACTCTAGGTCCAGGCGTATGGGTCTGGATCAAAACTCTGACACCAGGGAAGAGACATGCATGACTCGATGTAACCCGAGGCCATGACGGGCCATACTTGAGGATTCACATCAAGAACAGCGTCGGGCGTACCGGTGCTGTTTTGCCTAACCTCTCATCTAACTCAGACGAACGATTCACGACGCGTCCGCGGGGCGGATGGAATGCCACCGACGCCGCTCTGCGCGATGGCGCCGGATGGATAGGGCCGATGGAGCCATGACCGATGACATCTCAGATGTCGGCGCTGCGCATGATGGCGAAGAAGAAGGATCCGGCGATCGGACCTTCTTCGCGACTGGAGCCATCCTCGTTGACATCTACGTTTTCGATATAAAAAGGGAGCATGACGCCATGATGAAGGCTAGATCCAGAAGGATTTGACGATCACATAGGAAACCTTCTTCTCTCTCTCGACTTCTTCTTCTTTCACGAGACTTGTGATTTAACACGCATTTTCCCTTCGCCTATAAATTTGGGAAGCAACAACAAAGCGCCATGAACGCCCGAGGCGATAGGCTAGATCCACACAAGAGCACGACACGAGCATGGATCCATCAATACAAATTTACAATCTCGAGCTCTCAAACATCTTCATACTTCCCTCCTTTCACGAGAGACTTGATTTTCTTTCCTCTAACACATTTTGAAACACCCTTACGCAAACTAAGTGCCCTATGATTTTGAGGGCCCTCAAAGAATCAAAACTAGGATTCTAGGGACGTTCAACCTAAATTACAAGAAAAACATGACTATTGTGTCAAAGTACTAGACAAAAATTGAACAAGGAAAAAAAACACCTAAGGCCTAGATAATTTGGACATAAACTTATCTAACCAAAACAAATCACAAAAAGGGCATAAGGCAATAATCAAATCGGGGACCGATTTAGGCTTCTTCAATCTTAGTCACTAGTCCGAAGATGGAACTCGGTGATCACTGGTGACTCTTCATACAGTCTCTACTTCTAGTCAGATCGGAAGTCGCGACTCAAGATCAAGTAGTGTATTTTGGGAGTTTTGGGGGCTAATAACGAGTATAAATGGGCCCCCCCCTCATGAGGTCTCGTCAGTCAGTCACTTACTTGAACTAAAATAAATATGTAATGTATTCTGTTTGGTCCATGTAAGTATGTATTGGGTCTGTATCCACTCACTACTTTTACTACAAACTCTGTAGACAAGTCTGTTTTGTGCATGTAAATGTGTACAGAGTCTGTTATCAACAGTTTGATGTTTTTTTTTTTTTGAAATCAACATTTTGAGTTGAATGGTTAAGTCAATGCAAAGAAGAACCTTCAGTAGTCATATTGCAAATCGTTTTCTTATGCTCCAGAAATATCAATTAGCCATAGAATATAATACTTTGAGTGCGGATCCCAGGTTAATTTGCAAATCTTCTTGGCAAGACAAATCATAAACAAGCAGTTTGGTAAATTTTTAAGTCACTTCATACTTAGTCAAATCACGCGGCCCAGTAGCAGCCCAGAGGCCCGAGGTGCCTAGCCCAGCCCAGTCAAAGCCTCTCTATTACACACGGAAGCTTCAGTTGCAGTGGAGAGTGTTGGCAGTCAGTCACGGAAGCTCCAAGGACTGCCGGACTGCCGGAGGAGGCCCTCGCCGCCGCACGCCGCCGCGCCACCATCTACTGGGCTGCCTCCGCTCGCGGTCCGCTGGTCAGCCTTATACGCTCATTGCTCGTCCGACATCTTTACCATTCTCCGCCTCCGCCCCCATTGTTTTGTGCGGATCCCCTAATTCCCTAACCCTAATGCAAGAACGCTTGCGCTGGGTTTCTAAGCACTGCTTGGTTCTTCCCAGTATTGAGATCTTGAATGAACTAGAGGCATTTAAACCTTGGTATTCTTACTTTACTGCTGTATAAAGGGTAGGGACTGGCCTCCATTTACCGTGCAGAGGAGTAAACAGTTTTTTATTTGATTTGATCTGGTTCTAGACTAATAGAATATTAAGGGCATCTTGTGGTGATTGTAGTTGATATTTTTTGGATCAAACTACATTTGATCTGGAAAGCAATGCTTACTCCGTGCAGAGGAGTAAACAGTTTTTTATTGTGTTAGCTTACCTTTTTATCCATTATTAAATTGTAGGAAAGCAATGTTTTTGCTATTTTTCTGTAATCGAATAGGCTCATATGATAACTGTGATGATAAAATACTATAAATCGTGTTAAGTTATTATACTGGTCTGGTTCTTTGAAATTATTGATCTAAGACTTTATACTGCAAGAAGGCCAGACACACTCCTAAGCATTACTGCATTATCATAGCAAAACCCCAGCATTATCCATGTAATCCAACCATGGTTTTACACAACAAGAATCACACGTTTATTTTTGTGACTAGTATTATTTTGCATGTTCTGTTCAGCTGCATTCTTGTGCTTAGGATTGACATTTTAAGAAACGATATGTGCTAGCCATTTTTCCTATAAAGTACCAGCTTTATTCTCTTCACTCCATCAAGTTCAATCCGCTAATGTGTTTGCTTGGGGTTCAAATTTGACACAGAGAAGTTGCTTTCGCCTGCAAGTTATGTCCAAGCTTCGAGATTGGGCAGGCCTCCCAGATGGCCTGCTGCACTCCATTGTTGAATTGTTGGGGTCCTTCCCTGACCTTCTTGCCTTTGCAGTCACCTGCCACCCCTGGCACTCTGCCTTCTCATCTTACCCATCTCTTCTCCTCGACCCTAATGTCTCTTTCTGCCCCTCCCGCCATTTTCCAAATGCCAGAAACACCTCTGTACCCAAATGCCCATGTTACGTCATTGATCTAAGCCAGCCAAGAAGATACATTACTTTGCTCTCAGATTCCTATGCTTTCTAGCGATTACGAAAATAACCGTCCACCAAGTGCTTTGCATAAGTTTGCATTTAGGGGTGCTTCCTTTGGCCATGTGATCTTCTCCAACAACAAAACATGTTTTCTTTTTGACGTATTCACTGGTATTGAGGTTTCATCTCCACCACTGCCAGTTGTTGAAAACATTGAGCTCTACTACTATGGTGCTACCCTCACTGGTCCTCTAGCATCTCCCAACTCACATATCATTGTCTCCACTCAGTCCTCCAACTTCTTTTGGCGTGTTGGTAGTGACTCTTGGTCAAAATGCTCTCCTCGCAATGGGTCACTCGTCGAATTTGTAGTCTGCAAAGGCCAAGTCTTTGGTTTGGGACTCTCATGTGTAATTTTTTAGTTTGGGCATGTAATATTTTATGTATTATTCTATGTTGGGACCTTTATTGTATTGTGTAATATTTAAGTTTCGACTATTATGCCTTTTGAATGTACTTGTTAATATGTATTTGTATTTTCAAAAAAATCTTTGTTTTTGTAGGATGGCCGGCATGGAGCTTATCGACCCTGTTGTTGACCAGAGGCACCGCTCCAACTTGCTGGACGGGCAGCTTCTCGCAGCCCTACGTCTTCGTACCCACGACAAGTTGTGGTTACTTGACCACCGCTGGGTTCCACGGTTTGTTTAATTCATACCTTATACGTTACAGCTGTACTTGTTACAATTATTTAATCTATAATTTTGTTCCCATTACAGTCTACGTGCTGCTGGTCTACTTCCGTTTGCACGCCTGGTTGAGCGACACAGGCATAGGAGTGCGCGTTTTCCAGTGGACCGTGCACTCCTCTCTGCTTGGGTGGACCGCTGGAGACCGGAGACGCACACGTTCCACCTCCCTGTAGGTGAGATGACCGTCACTCTGCAGGATGTCGCCATGCTCTTCGGTCTACCTCTCGACGGTACCCCGATCGGCCCAGTTGTCGTGCCGGCGGATTGGGATGAGCAACTCCTGCACCGTTTCGACGGTGTGTTGCAGCCGGCGGAGGGAGAGCCTGAGCAGTTAGGCTTCCACGACCGCCACGGGCCTCCAAAGGCTTGGTTGTCTCAATTCCATGCGGAGAGGCTCACGGACGACGAGGACGACTGGAGGGTGCTGCGACACTTGGAGGCGTACCTGCTTTGGTTGTTTGGTTGGGTACTCTTCACCAGTTCCCACCACGACACCGTCGACAGGCACTTCGTCCACTACGCGGCGCAGATAGCGTACGCACCACTTGAGGCGATTCCCCAGTACAGTTGGGGTTCTGCAGTGCTTGCAGCTACGTATCGGGCTTTGTGTGACGCTTGCACTCGGAGGACTTCGACAGGTACGTTGGCTGGTTGTCCGTTGTTGCTGATGTTGTGGTCGTTCGAGCGGTTCGACATCGGTAGGCCGACCCTGTCGTCGTACGAGCCGTACGCCGACGAGGTGTACGTTTTCGACCTGTTTGGTGAGGCCGACGAGCTCGATGCCCCAACGATGGGCACACTCTGGTTGTCCCGTGACGTAAGTACATCATCTTCATCTATTTGTTCATGCATGTGACTATTATGCTTTTAATTTTCATCAAATTTGTTGCTCTTTGCAGCCTAGGTGGGCAACAGGCACGGGTAGAGGCACGTACAATGCGTACGTCGCTGCATTGGACCAGCTCACAGCTGACAGGGTTCGGTGGACCCCGTACACAGCAGCTGACATACATGCCCGTGCTCCGCGTGGCTTGTCGGAGTTGTGCTACCGAGACCAAGAGCTGTGGTGCACGAGGAAACGACTGGTGTTCGACATCTTCGTCGAGCCATATTGTCCAGAGCGGGTGGCACGTCAGTTTGGCCGTGCGCAGGTCTTTCCCCTTCCCCGACTTGAGTTTGACGGGTCCCACGGGTAAGTCTTGTTCCATTAACTGTTCCTCTATATGTTGTCATAGTGTTATTTATTATTAATTGTATTGTAGGCATTCAAGGAAAGGTCAAGGTATAGCGTTCGAGCAATCGTGGGTGGATAGGATGGTGCTTTGGGTCAACGCCTGGGCACAGGCTGCCGCCGACGTGCACGACCTTGGTGGGCCATTCGACGAGGGCACGTACCGAGAGTACTTGCGTTGGTTCCACGGAGCCACACGCGTCCGTTGCTTCCCCGTGCCGGTAGAGGCCGCGCCGCACGAGGCCGAGATCACCGACACGTTCGTGATGGAGCCACCAGCTGCTTTCCATGCGCTGGTAAGCAAATTTCTTAACTACGTTGTCTATCCCTACTTTGCAAAGGAAGGGTAATACATGAGACAATACATGTCTGGCCTGCAGACAGATATCTGCAGTGACGTGGGCAACGAGCTGCTTTCGTATGCCCAGAGGTTTGAGCAGACCCCGCCAACGGTTGGTAGGCTTGAGTTGGTTTCCGCCCTTCGACGACTGGGGCAACGTTGCTTGGCGGGAGTTCGTCGGGCATCATGCCGCCAGACCACAGATGTAGTTGTTGACGTCCACCAGGGTGTGCCTCCACCACCTCCAGTCGTAGGATCTGGAGGACGTTCTGGTCCTTCCCAGCAGAGGGTTCCAGTCCTAGGTAACTCTATGATAACCTTCCTTATTTCTCATGTACTATGCATGTAGCATGCTCTATCTGACCTTGTATTTTTTAGGTACACGTGCTTCATGCAGTGACTACACGGAGGGTACTAGCAGCCTAGCCCATGCCATGTCGCAGCGCGACGGCGATGCCATCGCCATCGCCGCCCGCCGCCGCGGCGACGAATCCCTCCCCGGACCCGACACCGGCCCCGCCGGTGGTCAAGTGGCCCGAGGGCGGCGCGCTGACGCGGACTGGGTGGCGGGGCTTGCGTCCACGCTGGACTGGTGCTCACGGCACCTCCCCGCGGACCGCCTCCCGGAGGTGCTCCCGGCCGCGCTGGTCCAGCGCCTGGTCATGGCCGCCGCCGCCATCCTGCTCCGCGAGCCCAACCTCGTCCGCGTCGACCCGCGCCCCGGCCAGGCCGTCATCGTCGTCGGGGACGTCCACGGCCAGCTCCACGACGTCATCTTCCTGCTCCGCGACGCGGGTTCCCATCCGAGGACCGCATCTTTCGTCTTTCAGCGGCGATTACGCCGATCAGCGGCGCCTGGGCCTCGAGACCTTCCCTGCTACTACGCGCGTGGAAGGTGAATTCTGCTGCGGATCCTCCAACTCGTTGTTAAGCTTCATGCGTGTTTCGATTCCATTTTGTTTTGTTGGATCTGCTAGATTTATGGGCATAGATTGATACATAGCTAGGCAGTTAATAGATTTTCCATAGGTAGTGCAAACTGACTCAGTTAACTAATAATGATGTCTCCCCTTTGGTTGGATTGGACTTATATATAACAATAGATAAGACAGGTAATAGATTTTCCATAGGTAATGCAAGCTAGCTGAGTTGTTTTCATGGCAGTACTGACTCTAACAAATAATGATGTCTCCCCTTTGTTTGGATTGGACTTAATAGCAGTTATAAGTTTGCTCATTTTGCACAATATACAACTAAATGATATCAACATAGAATTATGAGTCTTGATCCACACATTATTTATTTTTGGGAGTATTTGTTCTCATTTCCTCAGCATTCAATGGCTGAAATATCAATGATGTGATATATATTTAGACATTTGACTGTTATTAACTCACACAATCATATTTGGATTCCATTTTTGTTTTGTTGAATCTGCTAGATTTATGGACGTAGATTGATTGATAGCAAAGCCAGTTAATAGATTTTCCATAGGTAGTGCAAACTGGCTGAGTTAATGAATAATGATGGCTCCCCTTTGTTTGCATTGGACTTATATAACAATAGATAACAAGACAGTTAATAGATTTTCCATAGGTAATGCAAGCTAGCTGAGTTATTTTCATGGCAGTGCTGACTCTAACGAATAATGATGTATTCCCTTTGTTTGGATTGGACTTAATAGCAGTCATAAGTTTGCTCATTTTGCACAATATGCAACTAAATGAAATCAACATAGAATTATGAGTCTTGATCCACACATTATTTATTTTTGGGAGTACCTGTTCTCGTTTCCTCAGCATTCAACGGCTGAAATATCAATGATGTGATATATATTTAGACAGTTAGCTGTTAACTTGCACAAGCATGCTTGTCCTCCTTTGGCATTCTAAAAGTGATCTATAAAAACTTTCAGTTCAACAATCAAACAGGGTAACAACATAAATGGTTGCTAATTATTGGTTCTTGTTTTCTTTCAGGTGCTACTCCCGAATTGTGTGTTCCTTCTCCGAGGAAACCACGAATCCAAATACTGCACGTCAGTATATGGTTTCGAGAAGGAGGTAATGACTAAATACAAAGATCAGGGCCCTCAAGTTTATCGAAAGTTTTTAAGATGTTTTGAGGACCTTCCTCTAGCGACAATAATAGCAGGAAGCGTGTACACCGCACACGGAGGTGTCTTCCGTGGAACGATTGTAGTGCCATCAAAGAGATCAAAAAAAAGAAAGAAGGGTCACAAATACAAGGCGGATTTTACTGTTGATGTCACAGCCATGAAACTTGGATCCTTGGATGAGTTATTGAAAGCAAGGAGAACTGTTCTTGACCCTCCTTGTGAAGGCTCAAATTTGATCCCTGGGGATGTGCTCTGGTCTGACCCTTCCTTGCAGATGGGTCTTTCACCGAATAAAGAACGAGGCATCGGTTTGCTTTGGGGTCCAGATATCACTCAACAGTTTCTGCGGACAAATCATTTGAAGGTTCATTTTGTTTCGTTTATTACTCTTCCTGTTATATTTCAAATTGTTAAGAACAATCAATCATATGAAAAAATTGCAACGTATGAGAGCTCACTATTTCCAAATTCTATTTCATGTTGCAAATCTGATGGTGCCCACAAAGAAGGCGTTATAGGTTGATTTGTATGTGTATACCCCCGGCCTAGTCTGTGGTTAGTTGAGGATTATATAAAACTCCTTAGTAGCTTCAGGTGACAAGCATGCAGTAACATCCAGCGTTTCTCTTTTTGAAAATTGTTGTGTGGTATAGATGTCACCTAATATGTTGATGCAGTGAATGTGAGATATTACTTATTAACATACTTGAAGTGAGTTACATGATTCTAATTTCTTTTGTGTTAGTGTTCAATGATATGGCTTACTTAGTATCAATGGTTATCTTTGAACTCGGTCAGTTGGTAATGGTATGTTTTGTCCCGCAGCCTGTTGAGCATTTAGCTCTAATGCTCCATAATAATATTTGAAAGTTAGCATCATGGTAAAACTGTATTTGCTTTAAGTTCACATGCTTACTTCATCTTTTCATTCAACAAAGCTAATCATCAGGTCACATGAAGGTCCAGACGCAAGAGACAAGCGACACGATCTCTTAGGAATGGATAATGGATATACAATTGATCACGAAGTAGAATGTGGGAAACTAATTACTCTCTTCAGTGCACCAGACTACCCACAATTTCAGGTGATAATTTTTTGCTGTTCATCTTCGATATTGAATCCCTTCCTGGCTTTTTGTTGCAAGTTCTGTAAGAGATTTACTCATAAGTTCTGCCTTTTTTTGTATCCTTTGCATATTATGATGATAATATGGTGTTAACACTTTGTTTCTGAACCTTGTATAGGCTTCAGAGGAGCGGCATAACAATCGTGGAGCATATATTGTCCTTAATCCACCTGATTTTGCTACCCCTGTTTTCCATAGCTTTGAAGCTGTAAAGCCTCGACCTGCGGTATGTGACTCAATCCTCAACAATATACTCAGGAGTACTTGGTTCTGTGATGTGAGACTTGGAGTTATTATTTCTTAATATGGAAAACAATCAATCTGGAGTGGGGGAAACAAATCAACTGACTAGGAGTATCTTCTTTCTTTGTTTTCCTATATATGCAGGCCCATCCGTTCTATGATTTCGAAGAAGTGATCGACTCAGATGAATAGTTGAATTTGGACGCCATGGACAGTGGCACGTTGAGCCTGTCATGATAACTTCTCATGTACCTTTTGTATTTATCACACCAATTGTTGCCAAGGAAGCGTGGCGTCAAGGTTTTTGTTGTAGCTAATGCCAACGTAGCAACGTTACAGGTTTCTGGGTGGCCTCCTGTGTCCTGTCAAGCACGCCAATCTGATTTGTTGGTTCGGTTTAGGTTGATCTGTATCTAAAATTAAGTACCCAGAAACATGATATCCAAAGATTGAATGTGGGAAACCAGTGGATGCTAAATCTTAATCTATAAACCTTCTTGTTGCTGAAAATGCTGATGCATTCGGTCATTCAGAGGAAGAGGAAGATATGCCCATGGCATCTCATGTTATCTGAAGAAGCGTATATCTACTGCCTTTAGAGCATATACGTGACACGCTTGTGAAAATAAAAGAGTAAAATGCACCGTAGATTCTCAAACTATTGGCTCCTTTCTATCTACGTCCTCAAACTATTAAACCAACTATCTAGATCCCTGATTTATTTCCGCGGCACATGCAGTGTCCAGATGCAGCCACGTCAGCCACATAATCCGACGTGGCCGTGCCAGAGTGGCAGATGAAGGGCGAGGTCATGCCAATTTAGCAGAAAAGCCCCCACCAATGTTCTGTTCATTAGTTGTTACTCCGGCCTTCTCTTCCCCAATCTTCTTCAGGCTACTCGCCGCCCGCGGCCGCTATCTCCGGTCTGGTCGCCCGCGCCCGCATTCTTCGGTCCGCAGCGCCTCCACGCAGTCTGCGATGTCTCTCGGCAGCTCGTCATCCGCGTAGAGGGTCGGGCCCCTGAGATTGGGCGCTTGCACTGGGCTGCCCCTTGTGCCATGCCCTAAATGCGGCGAGGAGATCCTCGAGCTCACTTCAGGTACAAGATCTAAGGTTCCGGGGGCCATCTTCTTCAAGTGCCGGCTCCATGAGAGAGATGCAAGTGCCGACCTCTTCAATTGTTCCCTCCCTGTTCAACAGCTATGATACTCTTGTTGTAGTCTTAGTGTACAAATTGTAGGACTACACAACTTGCCCTTTGTAACAAAACCGACCAATTATACAAAATTAAGTAAGAAAATCATCCGCTAGAGCAGACGATTTAGCAAACTTAAGCCCGTATAACCCGGTAGTCCGTGAAATCACGAAGGATTTCAAATCAACTTACATCTCAGCCAAGATCGTAATAAGTTTAGCGGTCACCATCACATATTACATAAAAGTTCGCATCTCAGATACATCAGAGTTTAAAACATAGTTATTATAAAACGAGTTCGAATAAAAGTAGCGGAAGCCATTTGTTTAAAACCACACACACTCACACGGAGTTCAAATACAGTGTCAGCTGATGATCATCTCCAACAAAAGCATTAGACGAGACGTACAGAATGACCATGCCCATGGTCCTAAGCATCACCCATCGCAGGATAAAGGCAGTTGATACAGCAACCGTAATACATCTGCCCATCTGCAACAAGTGGGAATAAAACCCTGAGTACGAGAAGGTACTCAGCTAGACTTACCCGACATAACCGAAAATAAAGTGACACCAAGGATTATGAAGGGCTTTATAATAGGGTAGCTGACTCATTTGCAAAAAGACATTTTTAGCATTTCAAGAACCTTTCCAAAGCATTATTGTCAAGTTAATTATTATTAACATGTCGACTACATTTGCACCTATACTAGGGCAAGCATGTGATTAAGCAATAATGATAACCAATGATCATTAACAACTTCCATAATGTCATATTCATTATAACTGTCCAAGTGTTCCATCAACATTACTACGATGAAGTCACTCAAGTCAAGTGCTCACTATCTAGGAGCGATGGCGATTCGAATCGATTCCTAACCAGCTGGTGATTTATTCCTTACACAAACCTCACTCACCCGCTAAAGTGAGGTATTGATCACCGAGTCAACTATCAAGGAGTCTCGAGTTTGCAAGGAACCACATGTACCCAGGGGCCGACCGACTGCACTTTGGTCTTATCATCTCGCCCCCGTGTCCTACCACACCTGCTCCGGCACAGTGCGCTGCGGGCAATCTACTCGGCCCGAATAATCTCCCAGCTTCATGGTCGGAAGGTACTTTATCCGACCAGCTAAATGTAAGGCATGCGTTCAACATGACTCGATGCCCAACAATGGTCGGTCCTTAATCGACACAGACGGAAAACACTACAGTTCAAAACTCTGTAAGTCTCCGTCCGGTCTCAACTTCATTTAACACTTAGTTATACCATGACTACATAGTTATCCAAGCAGATCCAGGTAACCACCTATAGCTCGCAGGTGACAGGAAATCACCCGACTTCTACCGGTCTAAGCCAGCTAAGCATTGACTCGACTACGGATACCAGGGTAACAAGGATATGGTATAACAAAGGTAGACAAGGTATAATGCAGCAACGGTTGCAAATAACTCCTGAACGTAATGCATCAATTAAAGTAAAGCAGTTAATTAATAATTGCAAACCGGGGAGAAAATGCTCCGGGCCTTGCCTCTCTCGAAGGAGCTCGGGCGGTAATCGGGGCACTCCGGAAGTTCCTCAACGTCCTCCTCGTCGGCTTCGGGCACCTCCTGCGGCTGCACCTCGAGCTGCACCTCGGGCTCCTTGGGTATGACGACTGAGTTCTCGGTTTGCGATCCTGTATGATGCAATGCGCGTAAGTGCTTATGCAATCAGTGCATCGGATGAGATGAATACAATGGATATGCTTGAATGCAAGGTAGTCAACATCATCCAAAAACATATACTACAAGCACATGTCATCTACTGCCTTCTCTTCTACTACTAATATGCTAAGTCAACACATCTTATTAAATGCTTCAAAGATACACCAAAGCTTCACTAAGTTCTTAATCACACATAAAGCAACACTTGATTAAACCCTACTTAATAATAATAGGTTTGAATAGCAACATATATTTTTATTGCTTAGAAAAATCTTAGAAAATTACCATAGCACAGTACTACCCTAAGTAGTCTACCATCAGATTTTCATGGTATTTGAATGAGTGGATTAGCCTACACAAAAATAACAAGCTATGGCATGATTATGAACATGAAAATACTTTGTACTGTGAAAAGTGTCAAACAACAGAGGAAATATTTTTCCTATGTTCTACACAGCAAATAATCACTGTACAAAAATTATCACATGCATGTTTTATAAAAATTTTGCTCTCTAGCAAAATTAACAGAAATCAGCCATTAAAGGCACTTGAACTACACCTCAAAATTTTTCTACAGCACATGCATGACACATATTTTTTCTAGGAAGCACATTACATAAGAAGATTAACAAACTTGGAATCATATTTTTCTGAAGCCTATAGGTTTTTCTACACATTTTTCAAGATATCAGCAATATCAAGAATTAAATAAAGCTCTACAGAAAAGTATCTAAAAATGACATGCAATATTTTTATCATGTAGATCTGGTGACAAGAAACACAACAAAATTTGTTTCAACAAATTTGGAGCCAAAATGAGTACACAAACATTTTCCAAAGTATTTCTCTTCCCAAATAATAAAAGAAAAACCGAAAACAATTTTTCTATTACTACTGGGCCGGCCCATGGGAACGACTGGCCCATGGCCGCTTTCGGCCTGCACAACTGAGCGGAGGGAAAGGCGACGGCCTGGCTCGGGGCTCCGGCCCAAGGCCGACCGCCCATTTCTCGAGGCGAGACGGCCACCCCACGGCGTTCGGCGGCCGCCCATGCCGGTGCGGCTACATTGCCGCCAAGAAAGGCGCGCCGTTGCCGACCACCACGATCGGGCAAACAGGCGTGAGCACTGGGTCCGCAAGAAAATGGCGAACCCGAGCGGGTCACTCAAGGGGATGGAGAAGGGATGGAGGAAGCCCTTCCACGGCGAGGCCAATAGCGCGGCGCCATGACCGACGACGGCGAAAACGCGCAAGGCTGTTATACCTTGCTCAAATGGTGTCCCTGTAGTGAGCACCAGGTGCCGGGGAGTGAGGCGGAGCGACGTGTGCTCGATCGCTGGCAATGGTGGACCACCGGCGGCCAATTTCGCCAGTGGGGCTACGGTGGCGATGGCGGCGCGAGCAGAGCTCGGTGCGGGGCGAGGCAGAGACGCAGCGGGGGAGAGGAAAATGAGGAGTGCTGGGAGAAGCGGAGCTGCGCTGGCTTGAAAACACGCGAGGCGTGCTTGCTTGCGGGGGCCACGGGACTTCACCCGGCCGGCGTCGCCCAGACATCGCTTCCGCCTGTGGGCATGTGCAAGATGCTGACGCGGGTCGGACGCGGCTCACTTGGCATGGGGGAAGGAAGACAGCTGGGTGGGCTAGGTCGAGGTGAAGGTGCGGGTGCGGGGAGGATTGCTGGGCCAGCTTCGGCCGATGGGCCAGAAGGGAGGCGGCAGCCCGCGAAAGAGATAAACAATTTTTCTAATTATATTTTTAATGAATTTTCAAATATCAGTTTTCAAGTACCATTTTGAGCAAGAAAATGACTTCTTTTGAAAATGGCCCAAAAATAAAAGTTGCTTAGAATTTAGTCCTCTACAACTTTGCTTTAGGGACCAACTAAAAATTTTGCATAGATTTTGAATTGGGAAGCAAAAGCTAAATAGAGAGGATTTTTGACCCTTTCCAATAATAATTTCAAAAGCATATTTTGTCAAAAGTTTGAATACAAACTTTGCTCCAAAAATTGTGCTAAATATATCTAGATGACTTACAATTATAGCCAAACATGTTTTACTAACCTAGCAAGCATAATCATGGCAAAACAACTCTAAACAAGTGTATGCAACATTCATGTTTCACGAGCATGTTTCGTATGTTTCGAAGCAGGGTTTCAGTTATTATTTACATGATTAGGCATGTATGATTAGGATGTTTGATGATGCATGATATGTATGATTTACAGTGCCTAAATGTTGGTCATAACACCGGGGTGTTACAACCCTCCCCCCTTATAAAAATCTCGTCC